TTTTTTTTTTTTTTTTTTTTTTTTTTTTTTTTTTGTAGAGGGAACCGTTAAGGCTTTCAATACCTGAACCGTTTATTTCGGAAACTGCGGACAGGAGTAATCGTGCTTTGTTAAAAGAGTTACTGGACTTGACTTGGCCGAACATCAACCTTAACCATCTTCACACAGTTCCGTTAACGAAATCTTTTGAAGAAACTCTGGTCAACATTGACGAACAGGTATGGCTATTATTAAATGTTTTTCTGTAACAGTAAACTTTTTCACTACTGATACCTGAAATTGTATTAATCTGATTGAGATCTTGTCAAATTTTAGCCAATTCATCGGCAACATAAAATTGGTGTGTTATACTGTGGACCTGAGCAATGTACAGAACTCGAAATGTACAACAATGGTAACTCTTTATTTGAATTAATTTTTTACATACAAATGTGATTTTTATACTACCTTTTTTATCTTCTATTAATAAAATAACTAGCGTGGACTCGACGGCATTTGAACAATGAATAACTGTTTTTATAGCAAATATAACTTTTTAGCTAATAACTCTTGTTAACAGTTTTGTGAGCAAACGGCTTTTTTTATTCAGAGACCGGTTCAAAGGACTTTGATGAATTTTTGGACTTTTTGGGACAACGAGTAAGTTTAAAGGGCTTCCCGAACTATACAGGCGGTTTGGACACTGAGAAGATGACGTGTGGTACTCATTCTGTCTATGCAGTTTATCAGTCTGATGAAATAATGTTCCATGTATCGACACTTCTGCCATATTCTGCAAATAACCCTCAGCAGGTAGTAATTTTTATTTACTAACCGTGCAAACTTGGTAGGGTTTAATTTGGTGATACATTTCGAAAAAAGTTGGATTTTGTATTAGCTTATCCATATCTGTTTTACTAGGCATTTGACTGTGATAGGATATTTTTTATAGCTTAGTCGTAAACGACATGTGGGAAACGATATGGTAACCGTAGTTTTTCAAGACAAAGGAGCTTTACCACTTACTCCGTCTTCAGTTTTATCGCAGTTCCAACGGGTTTTTATCATAATTAGGGTTAATGAAAATTCTGGCGACGATGTTACATACAGGTAGGACTGAGGAAAGTATGTCAGCATTGCTTCAATAGTGAATGTGAATATTTTTAATGGTTCACAAATATACCAGCTTATGCTTCAGCATGGCCGTATCTCGAGACGAAGATTTACCTTCATTTGGTCCTGTGCTTCCCAGTTGTGCTGTTTTTCAAAGATCTCAAGAATTTCGAGATTTTTTATTAGCAAAAAGTAAAAACTTACTTTTTTTTGATTGTGCAATCTATTTCCTCTGTTTAACCTTTGAAATTAAGAATTTTTCCCAAAACATTGATGGAACTGTATTATAGTTATTAATGCTGAAGAAGCTGCAGCAAGATCTCCAAAGTTTAAAGCATACGCTGCTCGAAATAGGCGTGAGTCGCTAAGAAATCTGATACAGCATTACCTAACTCATAGAGAAAAATCGGCTGGGCTTGCCAGTAAGTTTCTGATATGCGTTTCTCTTTGATTGAGTACCAAGCGTTTTTCAATCTGCCATTATAAACTTATCAAAGTAGTTTTTTAAACTGTTTACTCATCTAAGCATAAAAGGTTTGGCCATTTCAGGTCGTTTCTTGGGAGGGTCGTTGAGACGAAGAGGTCGTGAAAATCCGAATCCAATATTGAGTTGTAACTTAAGAGGAGCATTATCGTGGCTAGTAAGCGTTTATGACTTTTCGCAAAGACGATGGATTCGCAGCGTTCTTGGCATATCGGCAGAAACGATTGTACTTTTTGATATCAACAATGGTTTGGTTTTATTCAGCACATCTACTCATTCAACAATTGGATGGTCTGCAGCTGAGCGATAGTAGGTTCTAATATAAATACTACTTTTTGAGAAATATTTGAACTTTAAAATAATTTGAAAATTAAAATATACTCGCTAGCATATTAAAAAAGCTGTATTATTTGACTACTGGAGAAACGGCAAGACACTTTCAGTTATTTAAAATTTGTATTTTTTGGAGAACTGGCTTCTGGTAAATAATTTTTTGATCTCGTCGGCTACGTCTAATAGAAATTTCTAGTATTAAACTGTATTACGATCACGGACAGATGCTGCTGATTATGTTTGACAAAGCTTATGGTAATGATGGTTTATCAACAGTCATTCAAAGGTTGGAGACAACAACCAAAGGTGTAATTTTCAACTTGATTAAAAAGCTTTTTTTCAGTCTTATTGTTACGTAAATTCAGGGCATTAAGGCTACAGCATTAAAAGTGTAATTTGTTACAGGTGCTCCAGCAGAAGAGATGTTGCTGCGACGATTTAGAAACTCAGAACCACTAGGATTTAATTATCATGATGAAGGAGTGATTACTGATGTAGAATTATATAGATGTGCTTGGAATGCAGGCTTAAGACAAGGAGCGCGAATTGTTGAGGTATATTTTCAAACTTCTAAGCTGTTCTCAAAAGATGACTATAAATTACTTGTTGGGTGTTGGAGAGCTAATTTATCGAGAGCCGTTGATTTAGTATGTTTTACATCTTGAGGCGTTGGATGAAGAGTAAATATTTTCAGATTGAGGGCCATCCAATTATTTCCTTAACTTCTGAAGAAATCAAAGTTTATTTATCAAAGAGCAATATGATCCACTTATTAATTGTGCCAGCAGCAGAAGATGGTTCTCCAAGACGTGGATGCGAAGACCCGAATTGTCCAGCAGCAAAGGGAAACCAAGACCGTGGGCTTATCTTCGAGGCATTAACAAAGCAAATTTTGAGGTCATTTTTCTTTTTTCGTTGATAATTTTTTATCTGTTTCAGTAGTTAATTTATGGTTACTGCATTTTAGTTATGAAGAAGCTAGAAGAACGAGCTATTTTCCTGGGCATCCTACTGGTGACCCATTGCTAATGTCCTTTGTCAATCGGCCTTATGAGAGAATGGCAGCTTCAGCGCTTCCATTGCCTGTTAGCATTTTTTAGCAAATTTATTTGTCGAGCTCATAGAACACATTTTTTAGCAGCCCCATAGTCTTTTCAAATAGTTTTTTTGAGATTTATATTATTGGATATTGAAAAGTTTTTGCTTCTTGAATTTCTTAACGGGTTTTCTAGAAGATATCGGACGTACCTAGCCGTCAGAGTGATAATGGAAAGCCTCAGTTTTTTCAAAAGTGCGATCTAAAAGTTTTTTTGAAAGTTATCTTATTTGTAATTTTTACTTTATAAATGGATTATTGTGGATTATTGTTTACTTTGTTCTTCGTTCTACTTGTACACTACGATTCTGCAGTATTGCACGTTCACCGCGTGTACCGAGGTCTCAGCTGTTAAAGAAATGGAGTGGATCAATTAGCGACCAGTTAGCGGATCAGTGCGTGAACCAATTTACGGTAGTAGAAAAACGTTTTTTTCAGCAACACATTTTCGGCACTAAATCAAAAACTTTGACATATATTGAATTATTCATGTAATTTTAATTTTATAGGGTTTTCATTGCTACTATTTTAAGATAAACTCAGTTTGAGTTGTTCTTCATTTAAAACGAAAAGCCAGCTGTTTCAGGGTAAACTCTATCGTTCACGTTCTGAAGAAACTGTTGAAGCTTTTGGAGGAATACTGTACAGAACAGGAACGCCAAAGGTAATGATAATGCTTTTCCTGACAAAAAAAATGAAAAAAAATTTTTTTTTTTGCGTCAAACTGCATGATTAATAAAACAGTGGACTATGTAGGCGTTCAATTAGTGTCATTTATTTCAAGGGTGAGTTGTCGCAGAAGAAGATAACTACGCAGGGGCCTAAGGAAATGTCATGGTTTGAAGAACTGCTGGAAAAGGATGTTTCTTTTGAAGTGATCAGTCAGATTAGCAGAGATAAAATCCGACTGGAGAATTCCTCTATACAGTTAAAACAGATGTTGGAGGAAAACAGACGCCTAATGGAATGCGTAACAACGTTAACGGCTGAAATTAATCGAGTAAGCGGAACGCAGCAAATTATTTGTGCCTTTATTTTCTTCACTACACCGATTTTTCTTCTGTTTGCAAATGACTATTTTAAATCTATCAGAAATGACAATGACAGTTTTTAGGAAAAGACTGAAAAGGACAGAGCGTTAGCAATGTTAAATGTAAGTCAACAAAAAGAAGAAGAGTCTGGTGAACCGAAGTGTGAAGAGGAATGACAAGGATCCAGTTATGGTTGGAATTTATTTATCTCATTGCTTTGAAAAAACTGTTAGTATTACTTCAGTTTAATTTTTGTGCCATTTTATCAAAAATTCAAATGTATTTATTTGGTAATTAACTGTATGCTGGTTTTTCACTAATGATCTCGAGCCCTTAAGATCTGATGTTTTTT